TAGAAGGATGTTTTTCTTAGATAAGGATTTATATGTACACAAAGAGGAAAAATCCATGCAGGATTGGAAAAGATGTGAGCTCAGCAAACTGATGAATTAAAGTAATAAATATTTTATTCTCTCACTTAGTTTCTGTATTCTTCCCAAATGCCCACTAGGTAAATAAATTGAGGTTTGTTTGTTTTGTTTCAGTATGCTTCAAGATTATTATGTTGTAACTCTCTTATAGAAAGTTGTGTAGGACTGCAGATTTTAGAATGCTAAAAATGTAAACATACCAATAGAACCTGCAGAATGAATTAGGGATCAAATGAATATTATTCCTTTAATACTATTTTAGATCACAGAAATTTATAATCATAGAAACTTTGAATCTACAATGTCCACCCAGCCCAGGCCACTACCAAAGGAACACACAATGAAAGCACTCCCAAAACATGGCCATCCAGCCTTTGTTTGAAAATCTTCAAGGAAGCAGACTCCACCACACTCCAAGGCAGCATCTTCCACTGCCAAACAGCTCCTACATCAGGAAGTTCTTCCTAGTATTTAGGTGGAATTCCTTTTCTTCTAGTTTATATCCATTGCACCATATCCTAACCCCTTCAGCAGCAGAAAACTATGTCATGTCATGTCCTAACATGATATCCTTTCAAACATGACTATCATACCCAACCCCTTTAACCTTCTCTTTCCCATACTAAACATACTCTGCTCCCTAAACCATTCCACATAGGAAATGATTTCCAGACCTTACCATTTTGCTCACCCTTCTCTGGACTCCAGCTTGTCAATATACTTCTTGAATTGTGGTGCTCAGAACTGGATACAGGAAAGGCCTGACCAAAGAATACAGTGGTGCTATTACTTCTCTTTATCTGGATACTATACTCCTAATGGCTGCCACTTCACACTGTTGACTTATTGTTCCACCCCAACCTCATCAGACAAGGTGGAATCCACATCCTATGATGCTTTTATGCCACCTGGAAGACAGAGGCCCATGCAGGACATTACATGACGTCATGTGACTTCTGCCATAGGCCATATCCCCAACCAAGGTGAAAGCATCGCTGGGTGCTTTCGCCCCAACATGGGAAGCTTCCAATGGAGCCAGCACAGGGCCTCCCTACAAGGGTGACACTTTCCCCATGGGGAAAGCATCACAGAGACTAAGCTGGGTGCAGGGCAACAGATTCACCCTGATGCTCTCCCTTTCCTTGTGGAAGCCAGGAGAACTAAAACGCTTGACCTGAGCATCCTAGTAAGGTTGCAAGACTACCGGATCCATTTCACATATACAGTTGTCAGGCCAGGTATCATGCATACCATATCTGTGTTTTTCTTTTTTTTAACACGTAAGTGTACTATCTTCTATCTTCTGAGGTATTAGCTATCCTTCCCAGTTGGGTGTCACCTGCAAACTTGATAAACAGACCTTCTATTCCATTTCCCAGGTCATTGATAAGGATGTTGAACAGCACTGGGACCAAGGCAGTACCCTGTAGCATCCCTCTGGTCATTTATCTCCAGGATCAAAACATTGGTGTTATGTGTTATGCTTTATGTCCAGGGAGTCAACAATGGATGTGTTCTCTTAGTGTAGATTTATTATGCAATTTATGTATCATTTTATCCATGCCAGGTACTGTTTCTAAGGTCTATATTGTATTTAAATAAAAAGTCAATAAGAAAAAAAAAGATGTTGGAAAATACTGCAATACAAAAAACCAGTGTGTACACAGAACAGCTATAAAAACAGATTTGTAAAGTGCCTGAGTGAAGATGCCTCCCTAGGCATTTGGCTGCTGCAGCTTCCTAACTATACACTTTGTTCTTTTTCACTAAGTTACAGAAGGTTGTTAAATAAAACATTCATTATATATTGAACCAGAGCAGGGTGGGATATATTCCTGAAGAAACAAATTCTGTTTGCTCTTCATTTTGGCTCTCTTGCTTAGAAAGTAGCCTTAAGATACAATTCTAGTCCTCCCTTTACAGCCATGCAAACCAAAAGCTGTTACTACTTGACAATAAATTCTGTAAGTAAATTACTCATTGTGTAAAGATGTACTCTAACAACATGGAGCAGTTAACTTGCCCATACTTTGAAATATCATTCCCTAGCCACCATGTTTATGAGCGGACTGGAGGTTTCTCAGAATTGTAGTCCAATTTTTCTAAACTCTGTGCTTTAAAGCAAGTCAGACTATTTGATACTTCAGTCTGCTTCATTTTCTTCATCATAATATGTCTGTTTACTCCTGTTCTCCAATCCATAATAGGATATTAACAGTCCATATGAGGATATTTTATCTCACACCATAAGAAAGGTTCCCAGGTTTTCCAAATAGTAACACCTGATATTAAAATTCATGATGCAATATGAAGGCAGGAGAAGAAAGAAGGCCTGGTGTTGAGCCTTGTTTTAACTATGTTTTTCCACTCAGTTGCCAGCTTAACACTAGACTGAGGCACCCAAGGTCCCTGAAGTCATCCTACACAAGGCTCACCTCTAGCCTCACAAAAGAAGGGCTTCTCATGAGATCTCCAGGTGCCTGTGAGATCTCATGCCTTACAGGAATCATAAAAGCCAGAAATATTTCATGATGGTATGCCAACAACCATCATGAAATTAGAAATTTACTGTTATGCATATCCTATGAAGAAGCTACTCAGACTTGGCATGAAAAATAGGAAAAGTAAGCATCAACCTCACTCACAACAGATGACCCACACATACTATATGTTATATAATATTAGGATGTTTTCGTACCTGCTAAATGCTAAGAGATTCACCTGTTGTAATCCTGTTTCCACTCAAAAAAGTCAAAATAGGAAATTCAAGTGTCTGCATAACCATAAATATGAGCAGGACTCCCAATGTTGTACATTCTTTACAAAACCCAGGGGAACCTTGTCCATAACAACAGCTCCGGTGCTATAACAGCAGCAGCAGAAAACACCAGCACCAAGGAAAGTCCCTTCTGTTAGTAAAAACAAAGGGCATTTATTTGGGGCATCATCAAATTGTTAGAACTTATTTTGTTCTTGTATACCTTAAGGTCATTTCCAGCTTATGGCAACCCTAGGGCAAACCTATCACACAGTTTTCTGAAGCTGAAAATACATGACTCGCCAAGGTTACCCAATGAGTTTCTATTCCCTGAGTGGGGAATCAGTCCCTGGTCTCCAAGTCATCTTCCAACTCTCAAATCACCATACTGCACAAGCTATTTCTTTATTTGTTTGGTTTTGCGTTTGTTTGTTTATTCATTTATTACAATCATAAATAAAAAATAGCAAGTGGCTGATACCCCAAATATACTGCCTGACGTAACTGCAGCATGTTATTCTATTTTTACTGCTCATAAAATGAGGAGTGTGACTTGTGGCATTTTCTCACTCAGGCATCAAAATAACCTGGCTGACTTTGGATGTCATTAATTTGTGCCAAGAGACACCATTTGCTTATCCACCTCAGGCAGCATAATGTTCCTGGCTGACTCTGGTCCCTACCTGCCAGAAGGACACCTGCCTGCCTTCCTCTGCATGATGGCAAGGATCTTGCAGGATAGTAGTGCCAGATAAAGATAAAAGCCATCTAGAAAAACCAAACTTTTCTCTTTCCACAAAGTTTTCTCCTTTTCTCTTTCTACAAGGTTGCTCCCTAGACTTCTCTGGTGGCATGTACATTTCAGCAAAAATGCCCTTTCTAAACCAATCTCAGGAAGGGGGAGGTTAGGTTTCAATTTGAGCAATCCAGACGCTATATTTTCTCACATTTCACAGATGAAACAACATTGAAAATGATAAGCACCAAGGTTGACTATGTTCCCTACCTGCCAAAAGGCCACTTGCCTACTTTCCACTGCAGGATGACAAGGATACCTGTGGGGTCCTAGTGAGGGGCATGAAGAATCCATTGCCCCACATATTGCCCGATTTATTGCTGGCCCAATTCCATAAGGGGAAGCATCTACAGCCCAGCTTTCCCCCATTGTTGCAACAACAACACGGGAAGTGTCCCATGTCACAGCAGCGTACGTCACTTACTCTCCCACTTTGCCATGAAGCCCCACCAGAAGTAAATGTACATCATGTAATGAGCTCCATGGCAAAGGGGGTGAGCAAGTGGCATACAACAGACAAAGTAGACCATATGATGAGGTTGTAAAAGAGCTAGGAGAAGTTGCAGCAGTTTGCTTTTACCCAGATATACAGGAAAGGACACGATTCTGCCTTCTCCTCTCCTTCTTCCTCCTAAGTTAAATGAGTGAAAATGACTTAGTTTACAGCTGGAGACAAAGAGGGAAAGTAGGATGCGGATGGAAAACCTTGGGCATTTGAAAGACGGTAAAAAAAAATAGGATAACAGAGGATTGAGCAGGACTGTCAGTGCCAAATAGGAACAATTGAGGGATATGAAACAATACTTGTGCAGTAAGAGAATACAAAGAAGCAAGGACAACCAGCGCCACTTCCACCTCAGGGCACCTCAGAAGAGATAAAAATGAACTACTAGATAATTTCATACATGCTCATCACTCCACATAATCAAGCCCAGAAGGAGTGCATAGTATTCTTGCTATCATAACTGTAGTAGCATACATCACTTTTATGTCTCCAGCAGTCAGCCATAACAGCAAAGTTTGTCCCTTTAAGACACATATCTGATGCAGTTTGGTCATTTAGATATCATTTTATCAGTACAATGGCATTTGTGTGCATTTGGTGAACATTTTATTTAAATGAAACCTCAATAAGGACAAGAACATGTGGGAAAATATTGCGCGCAGTTCCTATAAAAACAGAGATTAGCCCTAAAAGAATATCCTCCCTCAGCAATTGGCTACTATAGTTTCCCATAAGGTTCTTTCCCATTCCTTATCCTGCAGGAAGATATTAAATAAAACATTTATTGCGTCTGTGAGATTTTTCTTTAAAAAATGAATATATATCAGAAAAAAATAGAATCTGTTTACTCTTGTTTCCCTTACCTCCCCTGCATATTGAAAGGGTTGTAATCTTTCCCCAATGTAATGGAGCAATCAGATTCTGGAGCACTCTTTGCATAGGGTTTTGCGGGTTCTCCCTGAACAGCCATCATTTCTTTCAACAGCTTCAGCTCGCTCAGATTGTTGGGAATTGGTTCCACAGCTACATTTCCAAGCAAATCCGCATGGTGTGGAACAGCGGCTTGGGTCAACTCCATGTCTACTTTTCTAGAGATTGCACTGTCATCTTTATGGTCCAAGTACATAGCTCTGGAGCCTGAGGAAAGTTGTCTTCTTGCCTGTAAAGGAAAACAGATAAAAGAAAAGAAGAGTCAGTAAAATGCAGAAACAAGCTCCCATTTATAAAAAAGCAAGAATGTTATATAAAGCTAAAAGTAAAGGTAAAGGTTTCCCCTGACTTTAAGTCTAGTCATGTCCAACTCTGGGCGGTGGTGCTCATCTCCATTTCTAGCCTGAAGAGCCAGCATTGTCTGTAGACACCTCCAAGATCATGTGGCTGGTATGACTGCATGGAGCACTGTTACCTTCCCACAGAAGCGTTACCTATTGATCTACTCATATTTGCATGTTTTCGGACTCCTAGGATGGCAGAAGCTGGGCCTAATAGTGGGAGCTCACCCCGTTCCCCAGATTTGAACTACAACCTTTCAGTCAGCAAGTTCAGCAGTTCAGCTGTTTAACCCACTGCACTACCAGGGCACCCTTTATATAAAGCTATAACATCTTGGATTGAGCTCCAAACTACAACTCCCACCATTCCATCACATTGGCAGTAAAAGTTGTGTCAATCTCATCGATTCTACAGTGTGGAGCACACGTGTCAAAAGCAAGGCCCACAGGACAAATCCGACCTGCCATAAAATTTTATGTGGCCCATGAGGCTTTCAATGCCAGGTCAACATAGTTACATTTATACAGCCTTACAATTAAAAACTGACCTTTGAAGGCAGCCATAAGGCTGATGGGGTCAACCCAACCTTAGACAGAACATGAAAAGTAATTTTAATGCAGTTCCCAGAATTCTCCAATGGGCTTCTGAGAGCTATGATGCCATAAACTTCCCTTTCCCACCTCTGATTACAAGCCATGAGAAGTGAATGTAACTTCAGTACAATGGAACTTAGTCCCAGGAGATCTTGCATAGCTGTGAAATGTTAAAATTCATTAAGTTAAAATTCATTAAGATGCTCCCTGTTCACAAAGACTCTGGAGTCCCCAGTGGCGCAATGGGTTAAACCCTTGTGCCAGTAGGACTGCTGACCAAAAGGTTGGCGGTTCAAATCCAGGGAACAGGGTGAGCTCCCATCTGTCAGCTCCAGCTTCCCATGCAGGGACATGAGAGAAGCCTCCCACAGGATGGTAAAACATCCAGGTGTCCCCTGGTCAATGTCCTTGCAGTCTGCCAAGCAGAAACGACTTGCAGTTTCTCAAGCCACTCCTGATACACACAAAAAACAGAGAATCTGGCATGTTTTTTGCATGAAACACAGGAGAAAAGCGAGGGAAAGAGTAACAGGAGGCACATCCCACTGTAGAAATATGGGAGGTACTCTGCAGGTAGGCAAGGTGCCTTTCCTTCTCAGAACACTCTCAGGAACCATGAGAAAAGTTGATCAGAAAGACAGCCTGAGCAATGAATGTTGGACATGTAATAGTCCTCTGCAGCCACCTCTAAGCATTTGGGATTCTTTGCCTTGCAGGGTTAGGCTCACATCCTCCTTGATGACATTTCACAGTCAAAGCGAGGATGTTCTTATTGAGACAAGGCTTAATATTTCATAAGCAGCATCTGGTTGGTTCTACCATATTCTGATTTTGTAGAATATCACTGTGTAACACAATTGGCTTTAATTGCTATGAATGATGTGTGCTCAGCAGAACAGTTGTTCTATAAATAGAGAAATCAGATGCTGTGAGGGTTTGCTTTGCAGTAAATGGGTTCCTTCCCTAAAAGAAGAGGTGTCTACACAGCCCTGAGTGCAAATGCATTAGATATAGGTATACATGTGACATGCTCACTTTACATCCCATTTTTCTCTCTTTCTTCCCCTCTTTTGCACTTACACTGTTGATATCTACTTCCATTTGTCTCTTTCAAAAAGTAAATAGCTTAGGAAGGCGTAGCATTGCCTGACAAATGTGTGTGCATGCCTGACTGTACGTATCCACAGGCATATACAATACTTGCCAGATGTGCATGAGTGGGCGAGGAAACTGATTGCCACAGCTAAGTAGTATTTTATTAAGCTTGTCCACTTTACAAGGCAGCATTAAATACACTTTTAAGCAATGATTCACCACAAAGACCTCAAGGCACAGTGGTATTCAAGAAAGCAGGAAATGCTATAAATTTGGACTTTGTGATCTCTTTGTCGCCCACCTCACGGTATATCATTTGTTAATATCAGCATAGAATGTGGTAACGGGAATGAAACAAACAAGCAAAAGTATACACTGACCTCTTGTGGCAAACACATAGATTTTGTACATTGCAAAAACTCCTCAAAAGGGTTGCCATTATCATAATAGCAATATGATCCTATGTGTATTTGTACTAGAAACAAAGTCCCAGTGAGTTCAGGACTGTTTGCATGAAACTGTTTCATGTTTCATGTTTGCATGAAACTGTAGCTTTCATACATTTGCAGACCCACCTCTCTCCATTCAAGTCTGTTCAAATTTTGAGATTGACAAAAGAGCCCCTGCTGCATATTCTATCACCCCGAGAACCTCGAATGGTGAATACACAAGGCAGGGCTAGGGCTTTCTCAGTAACAGCTTCTTGGTTGTCAAACTCCTTCTTGAGAGAAATCAGACGGACTCCATCCCTTTTGAGCTACTGGCAAGGCAAACAGAACTGCATCTATACTGTAGAATGAATGCAGCTCGATACCATTTGAACTGAAATGGCCCAATGCTATCGGATTCTGGGAGTTGTGGTTCTATAAGACCTTGAGCCTTCTTTGCTGGTGCTTCACTAAATCATAACTCCCATGGTTGCATAGCATCGTTGTGCCAGTTTAAGTGATGTCAAGCTATATACATTCTACAGCATAAAGGCACCTTTAGATTCTGAAATCAAGGCTAATTATTGAAATGTTTTAATTGCATGTTTGACTTTTAGGCTGGTTTAATCGTATGTGGTTTTTTAATTCACTAAGGAAGTTACGAACACATAACCTAAAGGGCATATTAATTATTCCTATACATTCAACTACTTTAAGGAATAGATAACAACTGTAAAGGTCCAGCAGTCCCCGCTTATTGGTCAGCAACCACTGCAAATGGCAGAGATCTGTTCCTCTGGCATTCCCACCCCACCCCTTTTCTGTGAGTGGTCTCTAATGTGAGGTGGAATTACGATAAGGACCCTGCTTTTTCCTGTCACAAAAGAGATTGGTCACAAAAACAAGTGAGAACATCAGTCAGTTGCTTCCGAATCAACAGGAAAACAGACCCCAATTGCTCACGGTGGCTGCAATCTAGTAAATGAGGAGTCAGGAAGGGAAACACAATGTATCTAAGGTTACATGTAACTATGGACCTCCTCAGATGGAGTCCATAAGCCAGGGGACAGCAGAGTGAATCCATGGGACAACGGGGGAAACTGTGGGGCAGTGCCTTGCATCGCACCCTTACCATCCTTACATAAATCCTGATAAGTCCAAGATTCTTGTTATCGGGGTTTCCAGACACGCCAAAAACTGATTTCCAGCAAGTTTTTAATCTTTCTACCCCTCATTTTTGAAAAGTTATCTAAACTGACAGATCTCCATTTCTTTAACAGGCAAAAACAATGTAATCACCAGCAGCCCATGGTTCAAATTGTGATGATTTTTTTTTCTAATTCTGCACAAATGTAGTCCCATTTGCCATCGTCCACTCCCCATTTAGAGCACATGTCATGTTGAAAACAGTCCATTTTTGTCTCTTTAACACAGTTTTTCTTTTTCTTCAGTAAGATAATAATAATAATAATAATAATAATAATAATAATAATAATAATAATAATAACAAAAACAACTTTATTTTTGTATCCCGCCACCATCTCCCCGAAGGGACTCCAGGCAGCTTACATGGGGACAAGCCATTAGACTACAAGCAGTTCCGAACTAGTCAAGTTATCTAGATTGCCTCTGTGCATATCTATCTAATTAATGCATTTTGACACCACATTAACTGCCATAACTTAATGCTGTGGAATCTTGGGATTTGTAGTTTGGTGAGGGACCAGCCCTCTTGGCAGAGAAGGCTAAAAATCTATAAAATAACTCCCCCATTATTTCATAGTATTGAGCCATAGCATTTAAAATTATCCCAAACTGTATTAATTCAAACCAACGGACTTTGCAACCTACAGTAATACTTCTTCCACTCGCTCTCCATTTTGTTTGTACATGCATCAGGCTCTTCCTGCTAGATTGCAGAAAGTGTTATTCCTTTACCAAGAGGCAAATCTATCTCATTGCTCTTCTGAAATGGTTCTCCTGCATCTGAAATTTATTTAAATGGGTGAAGAAAACCCTAAGGAAGATCCCATGGCAACAAGTCCCTGTCTTGTTTTCTACAAGATAAAGGAACTGTTCCTTCCAGTGGAGCTTACATATTTATTGTTTGAGCTATTCAACGTATACACCCTGCTCTGATTAAGATATTGAAGAAGATTATGGGAGATCAAGTGTGACATTGCTGGCCAGGACACAAAAATAATCTCCTTTTTATCCTGATCCAAATGTATAACCAGATTTCCTTCCTATTTTGAATCCTTGAAAGCACTGTACATTATATAGAAAAAGAAATATCTTATTTTACAGCTTCACTTGCAGAATTTATCAGGCCAGTTCATGATATTTTTTTTCTGTCTGAGGCAGAACAGCCTCAAATGCTGAATAACATGTCAGATGAAGATGTAAAAGTGACTCATATATACCAGGTTGAGTTTAAAAGCAAGTCTTAGGCCACCTGGAAATTTAAAGGTGATGCTAAGACATCAGTGCATGTCCTAGATGTAGAGATATATTAGCTGTATACACAATGTAGTAACCTGTTTCAAGCCTTCTTTTGAGTTTAGCATAGACCACTGAACCAACTGGGCTAAGTCACAGTATAAAGTTTATTTTGATATACTTGTAAAACCTTTCTTTGGCTTTAGAAAACAGCTGGAAAGATTAACCAAAGCTGGTGGTCTGCTTATGTTTTTAGCTTCCATGATCCTCACTAGCAGAAATGTTAGCTGGTGCTGATGGGAGTTGCAGTCCAAGACATCTGGGAAACACAA